TCACAAATGAAAAGGATTCATGAGACAACAGAACTGTGTGTCTTACAGCAAGATCTACTTAGAATTCCATCGACAGTAGATATGTGATCATCCGAGAAAGTTTTAAAGAAAATGGAAATAAAAATGACAGTTATAATCGGAAAGAGACATTTGAAATTTCTGTGATATATATTATGAGGAATGAAGGCGTGGAATATTTGACACACACATTTTGACATTGTAATAGCAGGACGCGAAGACGTAGACAAACGAGTAAATTACCTTATGTAAATGGATGGTTGAATATGAACTGGGGACGGCGAAAGAAACGTTGCTTCGAACTACAAAAGATACAAATTTACGAGAGACATAATCACTGGAGCCTTGAAGGGACACAGCAAATAAAAGTAGAAAAATATTGCAAATCAGCCATCATTATTTAATTTAATCTTCCTTCATGTTACACGCAGTCATGACTCTCCACGGATTTCTTTCCCCTGCCATTTCTGAATTAATATGTTTTCATAGGGATAATAACCGAGATACATTCGCCACAGTTTTAAATTCAGAGTTGTCCTTCTCCCAGACAGGCTGCCAGCCAAGTTTAGTGAGCTTAATCGACGCTCATACATAACCTATAATGAGGGAGCTGGAAAAAGAGACGAACCCATCCAATGTTGCAAAAGTGAACGTAAGAGATATGAATTTGAACTCGGCTCTTTGATTTTACTTTTCTGCACCGACAAAATTTATACCACCCACACATCATCCAGTCATCACTAATTTACTTTAAAATATCATCATCATTAGTAGCAGAATTTCCATCCATTAACATTGCTAAAAATCTATGTTTAATTATTATAATTATTTTTCAACATTGTCTTTTTAACGAACCGTTAAAAAAACAAACTCTAGATTGATTAACTCTCAAATTTTTAACTTTCCTTAAAAACGACTAACAGTTGAAAGTACTCGAGATGATTTACATGATTTCGGCAAATTCCTTTGCTAGTTCCCATTTGACATCAACCATATTATTTGTCATCAGATGAAAGTCATCAAAAGGCTTAATAGACATCAATTTTGCATTCTATTTCAACGAGAAATTATAACAGATCCCGAACAGCTTGTGTTCAGTTTTATTTCTGTTGGTTTGGTTCTGTTCTACAATTGACCTACAGTTGAGAGATGTGCGTATGCTTTTCTTAATGGGGTCATCACAACGCTTTCGGTCGGAATTTAACTCATCCTTGTCCATTCTATTTTCTTAATCAATAACCGTTACACCTCCCACACATTTACACGTATGTAATGTATAGGAATGAAGCCTGTAAAATATTTGAAGAGGAACATCTTGATCACCATGCGCTTAAATTTCAACTCAGGAAAACAGTCAGTGGAGCCTTGATGGAAGCATAAAAACTGGCGATTCGAAGCATGCAGACATACACATTATTCTAAAGTTGATCATGTTGGTTAGCTAAAGCCTTATAAAAGACAACTAAAGTTATTCTCCCTTCCTGGCTATGTGAGACAAAGATATAAAGAAATGTTGCATGACGACTTCTGGTCTTAAAGCCATATTTCAGTGCACGGTGATCGCACCAAGAAGCTGACATGATCATTCCGCTGCAAACCATAAAATGCACATTTCAAACTTTACAGCAATGTAGTAGGACTAAAAATCAGCTAAGAGGTCATGAAAGTAAACAGTTGTTGAAATGGTAATGATAAGAGATAATGAGACAGCTGTCATCTATGAAGATAGAGATAATTACCATATATGTATGTATGTATGTATATATGTATGTATGTATGTACAGAGGTGGTGATAAACGAAGATAGAATCCCTAAGAAGTTTCTAATCAGTGAATTGGTAGGAGGTAAAAAAGTCACACTCAAAACGAGATTTAATTATAAAGATTGCATCATGAACACACTGTATAACAAGTTTAACATCATACAAAATTACTGGGAAAACTTTGCTCTAGATAGTTCTTCCTGAAATATCCAGAGCCAACTGGTAATAGAGATTCTCTACAAAATCGTGTTAACAATGAAAAACTCAAGAGAGATGTTCGTAAAGGTCTTGCTTCTAATCTTACTGGGAATGACAATACATAATTCGATCTAAAGTGTAATGAATGTGTTTGAATTAGAGCTGACCTAAAAATAATTACATACGCCACAAGTAGAGAGAAGTAACTCTCCATAATTCATACAGAATTTTCATTTTTAATCATTTCAACCCAAGCAAGCTAAAAAAAACCTCTAAAACGCAGGGGCTATTAAGTGTGAAAGAATATTAAAAATAAAATATTATTAAGGAGGAAGAACAATAAAAGTACAGAAATTAAGAAGATAAACGACTATAAACGATAAACGACTTCTACTTGTCTTTACAATAGGCTATTACTAGGCATAGTTTAATCGGATAGAAGACTATAAGTGCTTTACAGCCAACGTGAATCAAACAAATTCTAGAAGAATAAGGTTCCGCTCGACTGGTTCTAGAAATACCACACTATGGCTCGCTTCCGAATTTCTTACACTGTAGATGATATCCAAACAAATGGGCGCAAGATGATGTCGCTTGTTTTGCAAATCAGCATTTATCCATGCGTTCTCCATGTCGACAATATTCACTTTTCGTCTTCGATCTGATGAAGCCATATGGGTGAAATGCATTATCGGATATTATTTTCGAAACATACTTTCATGAAAGTTTTTCCAAATGTCAATAACTTATAACTCTGTCTGGATTACATGCCCAAATTTATTACTACTGTCGATATGAACAGCACATGGATAAAAACATTTTTTTCATTTATTTTCTACCCATTCAGAAGGATTTCTATTGCAATATTCGGACACTTAAGACTGAGAATATAAAATTTTAAACGATATCTTTAAAGTTACTCATATGTACAAACAAGTGAAAATTTTAAGCTTTTAATTGATTAATTTAAACAAACATTGAAAAAAGGATTTTTTGGTTGCTCATAAAGATAAGACCATGTAAATAAAAATAGCAAATACAGAACAAAAAAATCACAACGACAATTTAATTCTCAGTATTTCCTCCATTTTGGGGAATTACTTTGAAAATTCGCTTTGGCATCCTCATTATTAACTTCTGCATGAGGGTTTTTGGGATGCTCGCTCAGGATGCATAAACTGCATCACGAAGAGCATCCACAGTTTCAAATTGCGATCCATGTTTATAAACATCCTTTGCCAGCCATCCCGGAACATTCTCAATTAGGTTTCGATCTGGAGAGCGTTGTGGAATGCAGCATTGTTCTGCTGAAAAATCCATTTTTCTCCACATAGATGAGGACATTCGGTAATTAGCAATGCCTTTCTTAACATATCAATGTAACTAGCAGTTGTTTGTAACTTTTACCTCCTGTAACTCAAGAGTTACATTGTACGAAAATAAACCCCAGGCCATAATTGATCCACCTCCACTGTGTCGTGTTGTGAAAGTTTCTTTTGGGACATCATTTGTATGCTAGTAATGAAGAAAAAAGTTTGGGATATAAAGATTGAATTTTTTCTCGTCTGGAAACAACACTTTCTTCCATTTATCCACATCCCAAGTTTGATAACCGGAAGCAAATTGTAAACGGGATGTTTTATGACGAAGAAGGTGCAGCCTCTGCAGGTTCTTAAACCCTTTCTTATTTAAATGTCGTCGAATTGTTCGAGAGCTGCAGTCAGCATCTGTATTCGCAGACCAGGAGAGTATAGTCAGCTCTCTTTTGTAGATCAGTTTTAATATTTCATATTAATAGGATTCACTTGGATTACTTACCCACATATTTTACCTATATATATATATATATATATATATATATATATATATATATATATATATATATATATATATATATATATATATATATATTTAAATAATTCCGTATTTTATTTAATTGATAGAAAAATATCCATTTTAAAAAGTATATATTTTCAAAATAATTTATTTTCTTCTTAATATCAAGTGAGAAATTTATATCAAGATTCAGATATTAACTACGTGTCAAGTTGGAAACCTTTTATGCACACTTACTCTATTTATTATATATATTTGGACCTATTTTAGATATTTATAATAACGTCTTTTTCATAAAATTACAAAACTTGGTATCTGTATTAAATCCATGTCTGACCAAACATATGAATTTCTAATGGAATAATTCTATTTATGCTTTAAATTCTTAAATTAACTTTAAATGCTTAATTCAATTCCTCATATGAAACAATAAGATATTTCTGTACTTTTCTCTAAACCTTTTTTTACTTTTATTTTGTTGTTGCCGCATTTGCTGAATTTACATGTGTTCATCAAAGCAGAATTCGATTTATACCAATATTCATTGCGAGCAAACGACTGTCGGCTTAATAACAGCGTAGAGTATCTAATATTCAATTGAAGTAATATATTGCTGAACATTTTGTAAATCAGCATACATAATGAGATAATTATGACTTCAAACTCCTTAATTTAGCTTTACTTGCAATATATAATTTTAAATCATTTGTATAATCAGAGACAAAATAATTGAGTTTATCAGTAATAACAAGTGAGATTAATTTGCCAATTAAGTTATTTTCTCAATTTCCTATTTACACTGCTTTATATTAATTCAAAAGTCTACTGAAAATAATAGCTTAATCCATTCAGCATTTTTATCTTAATTGACCATGAATTGCATAACCAGCATTATATAACGGTATTAGCAAACGTGCAACCGAAGACTTACCCACAAATTTCTCGGTCACCAAATTAAAAGTACTGAATAATATTAGTGTCAGTCTTCGTAACTCTGATTAGATATTTAAATCTTCACACTCATTGGCTCTCAACCAATCAAAATGGAAAACAAAACAAAAAAATCGGGGGCATTCTAAAAATCAAAGATGTCGGACATAGCAGAAACGGAAAAGTTTTATCTACATTGAGATTATTTTGACAGCAAGAAATAAGCGAACGCTATTTTTGTGAGCACTTCCTCCCATTAAGCCGCCGGACAATTCCTGTCCGCTGCCTGTGACTTCAGCAGACACTTCTGGTGCCAATCTTTTTTGTGAATATACTGGTCAATATTAGAAAGTGTGAGAAAATGTTGAGTAGAAACCGAGTAAAGAGAGAGAGAGAGAGAGAGAGAGAGAAGGACAAGTCGTGATTTAGATTTTGTAGATAAATGGTGAGAAAGAGACGGTAAGAAAGGAAGAAAGCTAAAGGCCAAAAAGTGAGGACAAGACAAGACTCATAGAGGAAATGGATTGAGGAAGAATATTGAAATAACGTTCAGAAGGTGAGGAAAAAAAGAAAAAAGTAAAATGAAAGGTTGGAAAAGAGTGGAATAAAAAAGAACTGTAATTTGAAGGTAACAAAATGAACTGAGGTGGGAAAAGAGGATAGTTCTATTAAGAGGGAACGGAGTAATGAGAGAGGAGAAAAAAAAAGAATGGTAAAATTCTTCAACGAATAACAGAATCGTAACAGAATCAAAATGCAACCGGATGAGATCAATGGAATTTTTTCAGAAAAATGGGCAGCAAAATAGAGGATAAGAAAAAGAATTAATTATTTACAGAATTCAAGACGAATTACAGTTTTTCATATATATGAATAATACTATGAATAAAAATGGAATCATTTCCTTTATACGAGGAAAGATTTTCAAAAGTCAGCTTGATAAAAACAACGACAAAAGAATTGCCATACAGGGTGCGATGGGTAAATTGTCGCCTACATTACGCAAAAATGAAAATAACACTGATATCTCATTTTAAAAGATGTACTTGCCGAAATTACGCAAAAATATCTCTGAATTACTAAAGAATAAATTTATTTAATAAGATATCCATTGGCTTCAACTACGGCCTCTAGACGACTTCGGAATCTTCTGTAACTCTTCTGGATGGTCTCCTAGTTTAATTTAGTTAATGCTGCCATAATCCTTGCCTTCAGTTCATCTTTAGTGTTACAAGGAGTTTTGTTGGTCTCTAGTTCGACTACGCCCCACACATAATAATCAAGGATGATGCAGTGTGTGGAGTTAGGTGGCCAGATGTAAGGGATTATGTGGTCGCAGAAATTGTCTGACAGCCATGACTAGATTCTCCTGCTTGTGTGGCATGAGACAAAGTCCTGTTGCCAGACATAAGGTCTTCCAGCAGCACTACCTCCGCAATGCACTTGATGTAGGCCTCCGTGTTGAGTCTGAAATCCTCACCAAGAAATTCGGGAGTTCTTTTCTTATGAGAACGATCAGAATGTGTTTACTAAGCTGTCATAATAACCATTAGACTCACCAAACTCTTTCCGGACCTTCTGCACAGTCCTCATACCCAGACCCTGAAATGTTTATATTGGAGCTTCCGGAGCGAAATCCAAGCAGTTCAGCATGCTGATTCCAAATTTCTGATGGAATGAATTGTGTCATGGTGCTCTTTCTCTCACAGACTGTGCACAACTGACCCAACCGTACTGTGCAGTCGACAAAATCAAAAACAAACCACGTGCATGTGTGAAATTAAAACTATAAAATGGAGTATATTATGCCTCCATTCATCCTCGCACAGGCCTCAGAGTCAATACGGAGGCCCACATTCAGTGCCTTGGGGAGGTATAACTGCCCTGCACATGCAGGAGAACACAGACACGACTGTCAGACGATTTCTGCGATCACATCACCCCTTACATCTGGTCACCTAATTGACAAGACTGCAACCCCAGTGATAATCATATGTGAGTTTGCATTTGGACGAGAAACTAATAAAACTTCAATGGCGAATTCATTGAATGAATTTATTCTTTACTATTTCAAGATACATTTATGTAATAAATAAATTTGGTAATTATATATCAGTGTTATTTTCGTTTATGCGTAATTTAGACGACAATTTATCCCTTGCACCCTGTGTGTCGTGTGATTTTTGATAGGATTTTAGTTAAAATAATAATAATAATGTCTTAGAATTTCAGGTTTTATTATGCAGCGAAGTGCAAGAAAATTTGGATTTGTAAATAATTCCGAAACATTGAAATATATGTCCAAGAATAATTCATATATTTTCAAATGGAGGAATAAACAATGGATGCGTTATTTCCTTTAAACAAGGAAACATTTTCCAAAGTCCACTTGACAAATGCGACAGTATATTGTCAAAAATAAAAGAATATTCTAATAAAAGAGAAGAATATAATGAAATTCAAGAATATCTAAGACGTCTTTTGAAAACCAGAAATAATTCAGCAAATTTGGTTTTCCAAATATAAATTTTCTTTCCAAAACAATTTCTTTATCGGCAATGGATTTACTTTTAATCTAACACTGCCAAATCTACCGTAGACTTGGGTTTCGCCATTCCTGATGTATCAACATTTTTTTATTGAGCCGTTGTTATTTTATCCGATTTCTCAATCGGTTGATCTCAAAATACGTACTTTAAAAATCCGTGGCATTATCTTTTCTTTCCATTCTCTTTTCCTTGTTTTCCAAATATAATATTTTATTCATTTAATCAGAGGAGAAATCTTTTCTTTTACCAGATATTTTTAAGTCTGCCAAACATGTATTCTGGGCTTCGAGTATTGCAGGTATCTAGTTGATATTTCAAATCAACTTTAAACGAACTTTCTATATAATCACTTTATTGCTTCCGATTTCCGAAGAAAACTTACATTTTCTTTAAAGAGAACAATCTTCGAGCAGGACACCATTGGAATCTGCAATAAGTTATTGATATTTATCTTTCAGATGTTCAAAGCCAAGTCTTACTAATATCTTAGATGTGTGTTCACATTAATTGAGGTCAAATCACTCGTTTTTCTTTTTCTTTTATTAATATTTTGCGTACAACAATTTCTCCTTTCTCGCGGTTTGAACATTAACGTTCGGATCATGGGACTCGGGTTCAAATCTCATCGCGTTCGATTTGTTCATAATATCGATCTTGGAAGATGATTCCGGCATGCGACACTGTCGAGATGTGCCTGAAACGCGTAACAGGGATTGATCCAAGCCTTTTCCTCCGTGAAGCTGAGTAGGCATTACTGTTCATGAATCAAGTTGATGGTCATGCTAACGGGAAGTGACGTGAATGAGGTTTTGAGCGTGCGGAGTTTGGACAAAGCTGTTGATTCCACCGTAAACTGTAACTAACGTGCGCTCACCATGGCCGTCCTATAAAGACAGGTTTTCTCTGTGAGTGTTGAAAAAACTAAAATATGACTGAGCAGAAATCTGCAACAGGGCTACGTACCCACCCCTCGGCAAGCAACCGGATATACTAGGAAACGAACATCCAGCCATTTTTGCTTCTGTTTTCACATTCAGAAAAAAACAGCGATTAATTTAAAATAAAACTGAAATAGAAGGAATTCTAGGAAATTATTTTGGTATATTGTACCTTCAAATGAGCAGTTTCATTTACGGATAAATTCTATTGTATATTATATTTCAGTCTGAAAATTAACGGGACTGTTTGTACTGAGTGAACTCTGGGCGAAATAGGATATAAGTGAATTGGATTATCATTTATTCTGATATCTTGCGAGTATAGAACTTTAATCTTTTAAGCTTTTTGCAACTATTGCATTTTTTCCCATGCAAGTGTTGTGGCAGGATATATCGTGGTTGCTCCACCGCGATAATGCACGTGATCACAGCGCCCTGAGCATCCGGCTGTTCCTGGCGTAACATTTTCCTTTTACCCAAGCTCAAGTGGATCATGAACGTGGGCCCCTTTTAAAGGCATCAAGAGGGCTGTAACGATAGTACTGTGGGGCATCCAAAAAGAATCCTTCAAGCAGTGCATACAAATTCCAATCACCTGAAGAAGGCGGGAGTGTACAACGGCCGAAATGTCATGATTATGGCAACAAAAGATGAGCACAACAATCCAAACAATGTAAATAAGGTAAATAATTACAATACCTTATCTTAGAAATATAGACAGATATTATTCGTTGTAGCTATGTCATTTTTTGTAAAACAAGCGTTTGAATATAAGGGAGCCGACCGAAAATTGGTAGCATGAAAAATGTTTTGTTATATGCACTTTAATATGTTGTTGTTATATTCGTAATGTTGCTTGCTTCTGATATAGAGGACTTTACAACAAACAAAACGTAATTTATTTGACGCGCTTGAACGCTTGATTTTCCCTTAATTATATCGCTTTAGAAATTAAATTACATTTAAACTAATTTCAAAAAAGCTTTCATTTTTATTTATTTATTTACTTGAAAGTTCTTACTATATTAGAATTGAAACAATGTAGGTTGCCATTTCTTTCTGCGGTCGACCAATTGACATTCAAAGCTATAGAACCCGGTCTGTCCTACTATTTACTCATAGCTGGGGGAAGAGAAGAGGATTCATACCTTTCCTAATTTTCTTTTTTTTTTAATCATTTCAATCCATGTAAGGCAATGAAGCCACTAAAACACAGAAGATAAAACCGAGTGTGGAAGAATATAAGAAAAAGAGAATTGTTATTAAGGAGAAAGAAAAATAAAAGAACAAAAATTAAGAAGATAGAAGATAACGATTGACATTGCATTTAAACTTTTGAAGATCAAATCTGACTGGGAAGCAAGAAGCCGGAAGAGAGTTCCACAAGAGAAAAGTGCGAGGAAAGAAGCTGTTAGCCTGGAACTTATGGTTATATCTAGCCATTTGAACTGTAAAATGATGAAACGTTGCTACCAATCTAGTACTATGCATAAATTCATAGAGTCTTGGTACCACAGAGGAAAGTTCATCAGAAGAATTGTCATAAAAGTATTTATAGAAAAGGCAGAGGGAAGCTACAATAAATTGGTGGGAAGTGACTGAAGCTTAGATGCCAGGTCAAGATTACTTACTTTGCAGATTCTTCTAATGGCGGAACATGCTTTTCCCCCTTAGGGGCTTTCCTAAAACATGACTATCTCCATAGTGGTTCCCCCACTGTTCATCATCACCTCCTCGTAATACCATTGTCTTTCTACAACAGAGGAAAACGCTAGCAGATAACCTTCTCACATTGTTATAAGGTTTCCTTCTTACATTTGCGTATCCATTAAATACGCTTTTAACGATGGAATTTTTTATATAGGTACATTCCTACAGCTACATAGTTATGGACTTGACAAAGTTCTCTGTTTTGTATGGTGGCAAACTCTTTTTTCACCTTTTCTATCTTCAATATCTGCTAACGTAAGGCATCAAATGTGTGGGCCG